TCTTCTCCTCGCTCTGGTACAACTTATCTGCATGTCAAACATGCAGACAGTTTAGTCTCTCTCTCTCTCCCCCTCTCTCTCTTCCTTGTCTCATTTACATCACAACATTGTTTGATTAAAGCTGCTGAATTTCTACCTCCTAGCACTAACATTGAGGGCAGGAAATGTGGGAAGTAGTGTCTGAGAAGGTAACACATCCAAGGTATCCATAGTGCCACTGTTTCACAGGGAAAGATTTATGTCCCGAGTCAGCTTCAAAGAAGAATAAATTATGGGAAAGTAGTCATTATTAAAAAAAAGAAAAATGTTAGGACTTTAACAAATATGCCAACAAACATTAATAGACTATTAAAAAATAATTTAAACTTGCATGCCAGTTTTAAGAGGTTAAGAGTCCTTCTCCATTTGAATATGTAAAAAAAATATATACTGAGAGAAAAAAAAACAAGTAACATCAAAACTAGAGAGGACAACAAAAAGTAGAATTACTTACATGTGTACCTTGCATAGTTTCTGATCTATCCCATAATAGTAAATCAAATAGGTGCCAAAACATGAAAGCAAAAGCTTTGAAGTTTTACCTTTCCTGCTTCTTTTAGTAAGGTGGGGATCCTAATTAAAAGGTTAACTTTCTGATAGTAAGAAATTGGACAGGCATCAAATCAATTTATTCTTCATTTAATAATTTCTGGCTCAAATGGTGGTGGGGCGGGGAAAATTCAAATGCATGAATATCACTAATCAGTGCGGAAATGCCACAAATACAGCTACTGAACACAGCATGTTTTCCATACTATTTGCAGTCACATGAAAAATAATGCACCTCGGAAGCAGAAAAGAATTTGGGGAAGCTGATCAGGGCACACATCTTTGCTTTTCTCTCAGGGGATTTGGGCAAGACAAGTTGCTGCTGTAAAAAGCAATGTTAACTTTTTTTTAATGTAATTTATCATCCGGGATAAGAAAATCACAGGGCTTTGCAACTGCCTCTGTGTGTTTCTGTAGCAACAACTCTGCATGCACAGTGGGACAATAATTCCACCCAAAGGATGCCATGTGCCTGTGCTGTGTCCCAAACTGTGAAGGGCAGTTAGACACCATGGAAAATATGACTTTACCCATAAGCCATTTGTTGAATGAGATTTAAGCCCCATGCTTCCCTCACGTGCAGTGCCATAGAAAACAAGAATCAACTCCAGTACTGAGAACAGCATTTTTCATGACTGCAACAGCAATAAATTGAAAAAAAACCCCAACCCATCCAACAGTTCTGTTGGGTCATTACATGAAGTGATAATACTGTTGTGGAGTTTTTTGCCCTGTCTGTTCAAAAGGAGTGAGCTATGACACGATCAATACTCTCCAGGCAGCTTCCCCACAGCTGGGTTGCCCAGGCCATGAATTGGATTCCTAGCAGAGTAAAATGCCTCCTTAGCAAGTAAACATCTGTTCACTGATGCACTTGGGTTTTGTATTTGCAGAAAATAGCTCACACGCTGGTTTTGTACTTTACTTGCCTCTTTATTTCCTGCTGCAAACTGCTTGTGGCTTCCACTTACATAAAACATTCTCAAGATGTTTGTCACAGCTTGCCTTTCACTTAAAAATCCATGGGAATATTACAAGCTATAAAACCATGAAACCACTAGTTTTTATGATTGCCAGTCCTTTAGGTATTCTTCAGTCCTCTGCTCTGCAATTTAATTTGCAATAGTGTTCACTCTCACTGTAACCCTTTGGTGTCTTGTTTTTGCCACTACAAGCCTTCCTGTCCCTGCTCATCTACAAAAACAATACCTCCTCAGCATCAACTACATGAATGCACTCTCTGATCTGAGCAACCACCAGCCACATATAAAGATCCACAAAATTAAAAGCATTTTATACTCATTTACAAGACTTCAATGAGTTCATTCCAGTAGAGTTTCTACTCCTTGACTGAGGACATAAATCCACAACTTCATCCATGAGAGCAATTAGAAATGGATAGCACTCTCTATGAGAGACCACACAGACAATAGGTCAGTTGTCAGATCACTCTGGTTTTAGATTGTTAGCCAGACATCAAAAAAGATGTAAAAAAACCAGAACAGTGCAGACTGGGGTGAAACACTCTGGATTAAAAGTAAAGGACTGTTGGTCAGTGTGGTTTTACACAGTAGCCAAGAACACCACAGGATAAAACATTTCATAAAAAGGGGCAAATGGAAAAAAAATAGAAAAAGAGGAGCAACGGAGCACTCTTAAGATGCACTGAATTTTTCAGTGAAACAGAAAAGGGGCACATGAAGAGAAAAATAACCAAAAGGAACCTCAAAGACACTGTCAGGAAGATCAGCACAGGTGAAGTTCTAAAGTAGCCAACATGCTAAGGAGAGTGGGTGCCCTCTTGACTAGGAAGAACTTGGAGTACAAAACACAGTGTTCTTCTGTAAAAATACATATATTTTCTGAAGGCAAGACTTTTTTATTGTTTTTCTAGAGAGAAGGAAGCTAAAAACACTAAAATATTTTCCTCCAGGCAGGTCAGCATTTGCAAACAGAACAGTTTGTCCTGAGCCAGTTTCTGCGATGTACATTTAATTTACACTTTGCTTTTGAAGGAAGGCTCTGCATCCAAACTGACCTCCTGTTCAGTATCCTTGATTAGTACTTTTGAGTTCATTAAATCTGCCCTTGAATAGTATCTTCTAGTTATTAACTTTTATGGACAATGTCATGACACTGGTAAGTAGGAGAATTTCTTTTACCACATGAAACAGCAAAGTGTGAGATTCAAACCAGCATGGAACCATGACAGACTTTGATACATTCGCTTCCAACAAGTTTTAAATTACCAAAAGTTTCTAGCTTGTAATATGAATCTACACCATGAGTTAAACTATTCCTAAAGCTTGCTTAGGTTGGCAAACTCCCGTTTAATCCAAATGGCTACAAAAAAGTCTTTAAAAAAAGATGTCATTTAAATCAGTGGTAAAATTACCCATTTATCCACTTTAACTAACCTGGTTTCATACTAACTGAACTAAAACCCCATTTTATGAACAAATCCTACAAGGAGCTACATGATCTTACTACAGCAGCATTTGCCTTCACTTACTGCTCATTAATGTCATCAGCTTTAGACATGGAAAACTTCTAGCAACTTATTTGGCTCTTGTTTTTGATAAAAACAGATTTAGAACAGCAGAATCCTGCCACTCAGCTGTTTTTTCCTTCTTTGCTGTAAATTTGGCAGTGAAAATGAACACAACACCAGAACAGAAGCACCAGTGAACAGTGTGAGTGACACAGCTGAACCTGGATACAGTTGCAGTAACAGGAAGAGAGAAGCACAGCATTCCATAAGCAAGAATTACATACTGTACTGTGCAGACTTAAGGCAGAGACACACACACCAGTACAGAATATTCACATGTGGTCTTTGTACAGCCCACATCACCATGGCTGCTCAGTGCTGAGTTCGAACACCAAACCACCCCCAAGTTACCCACACAACCACTTGCGCAATTCTCACACAACAAAGACCCTTCTCTCTCCTCAATCTCTCCAAGCTCTTCCTCATGGGACTATTTTTCTCTCCCATCTGTGCCCTTTGTGTTTTTATAAATTCACTGTTTTTCCACTGCATTACTAATACACAAAGAGATGAGGAGCCTTCTTGAATCACAAGACCTAGTTTCCATGGTTTTAGTCAGAAAGGTCTTCAAAACATTACAGAAATGAAACTTTTCCCAGGAGTTTTTAAAAAAGAGCAGACAAAGACTGAAATTACCAGCTAATGGGCCAACAACCAAACCTGAATACTTTAGACCTCTCAATATGCATTAAAATGAAATTCCTGCCTATGTAAAAGCAACTGTATAAAAACTGAAGCCCAGTTAAAAGCACAGGAAAGCAGCATATTGGAATCACTTAAAATAATACTAAATACTTCAGAGCCCTCTAGTGGTTTCATCTTTGGTACAAGAAAATTCATGAAGAATTGTTTTTGAAATAAGGCTACTGAAGTGTACTGCAATACTGTCTTTTATTTTTGTCACTCTCCTGTAATTAAGAACATTTAGGCTGGAAAGCTGCCTAGTAAATTACCAGAAAGGCAAAAAATTATACAAGCTAATATCTATTCACAGAATCAGCTAATGGGTAGTATTTTTGGATCTTCATAAAAATGAGAAGTTACTCACAAACATTTTCAACTGTGCATAACCAGGAGAAAAAAAAAAAAAAGATACAGCCACTCTCCCAAACCTGCATCACAATGATTACTGAAACATCAAGCTCTGAGCTAGCTCTCTACAGCCCAATCCTGCATGGTTTAAAAAAAAAAAAGAAAAAGAAAAACTGATATTTTCTCACAAAAATTGCAAGATTTCACAAGCCTACGCCACCTGTTCAGAGGATTGCTTCATCTTTAATCTATCACCCTACCAATTATATCCTCTTCTGGCTTTATTACACAGTAAAACTGATACAGAAAACAGGTAACAAATTTCCTCTTGAAATATACAAAGACAACTCAAAACATAAGTAGATAATCAGTCACAACACTCCCAAGTCTGTACCCAAGTTCAAGATAGTGTAATAAGAGAAACAGAATCAAATATCAGTTGCAAAGATTTTCTATACCTATTTACATTAATAGAAACAAAAAGAAAAAAAAAACACTTTTTTCAGAAGCCAAAGGTAAGTGCATAAGCTTGGAAATTATTTCAACAGATCCTATGATCAGGAGTGTGGTAGCAAGACTATCTAAATGACCATGTTTAGGCACATGAATCTTTCACAGGCCAGAGAGAGAAGCCACAAATTTAAGTACAATTTAAGAATAAGAGGTATTTGGGAGATTTTCAACCCAGCAGCAAACTACTTCTGAAATGAGCCTCTACAGAACTACACATCTATACCTGCTTCTGGATCTAAACTCTATCAATAGGTGTGCTGTATCTAAAAAATAAAAAATAAAAAAGCCTGAAATACAAAATCCCTTCAAAACTTACCTCCTGGAGGTTATACTGCTGATGAGCTTTTCAGATTGATCTGACAACCTGGATGGAAGAATTATTTCAACTGGCTGCAGGCGCAAAACTCGACTCTCCAATTCTGAGCGAGACGCAGAGTCCCGAAAACAGTCAAAAATTACTTCTCCAGTAGTTGGTTGGATCACCTGTCAAATAAAAAAAAATACATATATATCCACTGGATATTTACATTTTCAGGGAGTGTTTCATTGACTCAAACTGTTAAACCAGAAAGAAAATCTATGGTGTACAGCACAAAACTGTACAGCACCCACATACACACAGTGAACGTGGCAGATCAAAAAACATAAATTGTGTTTTTGTCAAATCTATGGTATTGCAATAACTTCAAAAGACTGTCATGACTTTGTCTTGGTAAGTAGCAGCAATACATTAAAAATATAAATGTGCTCTTGTTGTCATCAATCCACCACTGTTCAACTTTTCATACAATTCAAATCTATGTACTTGAAGTCTATGAAAGCTACATGTAATTCAGCCTGGAATCTAAACATGTGCTTTTGTTGTTCTCTCCCATCTGCAGTGTGACATTCAAACACAAGCACAATCAAGATGCTTTTAAATTAATTAATTACCAGCTGACCAGGCTTCAGTTATCACCACGTTTCCTGGTTGAAGTGATTGTTTTTAATCTTCACCATAAAAGAGAATACAAACCTGAAGTGTAAATGGTAAAAAATCCTAAGTCTTGAATAGTATTTTCTATAGGAAAAAAAGCAGTCACAAGCTTTAAAATATTGACCCTAAAAATGTTTACAGTTAGTAAAGCATCTGAACTAATGATTTCCCTGTATTTGGTTAAAATATGTTTTCAAGTGAAACAACAGCAAATACAGTTTCATGAATATTCAACTATCAACTACTTTTCTGTAGTTTTCAAATGTAAAGCCATCACAGTTCACATACAGATGATATCTTACCTAAACTGCCCCTTTTTAACAACAACAAAAAAACCCAGAAAAAAGTAATTTAAAGAAATCAATTCCCCACCCAAAATAAAATATATAAGACAGATCATGACTTTAAGAAGGTAATCACCCACCTCTCAAAAAAAACCAACAAAACCACCCCACACAAACCCTAAAATACTGATTCCCCTATTAAACGAACTTACCATAATGCCTATAACAATGTCACCTGTCTTCCTGCCCCTTAGGTTTTCTCCATTTTCACAGCAACAGAGGAGGTAGTTATCAGGGACATCTCTTGTTACCTCTTCAACATCTACAGAATCATCCAGCTTCAGCAAAGGGTTCACATGTAACAAGTGTTAAAAAAAACAGTACAGAGATTTGGGTGGATTGTTCACAGGTCCTTCTGGATCTAAGTCCTTCTCTACTCACAAGCACTAATCTAAAAGTCTTTTTAGCTCCTGGTATCTGATAAGTTAGTTCAAGAAATTAAAGAAAAAAGTGAGATAGATAAGGCGGGAGATTGAAAAACTAAAAACAGAAGGGAAGAAACTAAAGTCACTGGTTAAAAGCTGTTTCTATCTCATTTTTGCATTTTCTAGGCAGGACCTGCAGAACATGGCAGACTTGGGAAGCCCACTCTCTGCCTTCAGAAAGCAACTACAGTAAACATAACCTCTGCTGTTTCACAGCAAATCTACAGCCTGGAGGAGATTAAATTCTTTGAAAAGCCAGCCAGATGTTTTACACAACATAAAATTAAAGGAATTTGGTTTCCTGCTGTCACTTGCTACTCATGTTCCATCTAGGTGATAATACTGGAATCAAGGCCTCTCACAAACCAAAGGTTCGATCTGAAACCAAACTTGTTTGAAAAGGATATCTTCTCCAATAAGTGTAGACTTAGTGTAGAGAGCAGTCAGCTTACGGCTGAAGAGAGAGCTTTTGTTTTCTCCAGCAGCTTTCAGCGCTGCAGTTTCCATTTGTTTTATTACTCCAACCTACAGGCAAACAAGAAACAAAGTTAGATCTCTGATAATAAATTATTATTTTTACTATTCCATATGATTGATGATATTTTTAGATGTGTAAAGAGCAAATGCATGATTCAAGCTGGAGTGCATCATCAACAGAAAGGGCAGAGGCAAACATCAATCCTACTAATGAGAAAGGCATTCCTTTTCCTGACCCTTTGTCTACTCCTAATTGCCTTCTCAGCTTCTGCCCCTGTGCTTCTTGTCCTATTTTGAAACAACTAAGCTACAGTTCACTGCTAATCAGAGAATGGTTGCTGTAATCAATTTAGATTCAGCATATTCTGGGATCCTGTGACATTCTTTTCCTAAAACCAGAAAAAGAGGTATCAACAGAAAGCCATAGAATTACAAGGATCAAGGACAGGAAGGAAAAAAAAATTGGGCTGGGATAAGGAAAACAAGGATGTGAGGAACAATAAAAGAGAGAGAGGATATATACATTTCTCTTTATCAAATGGAAAGACTTGATAAAGAAATATTGAGAGGAAAAATTGTTCCAGAACTGTTCCTGAAAACATGAAGATACATTTCTGTAAAACAGAGGAAGCCTGAATCTACTTAAAGTCCATGACACCTCCCAGAACAGAGGAATTGAAACAAAGGACATTTTTAATTGCAGAAGCAGGTGATAATGAGCTGCCCATTTCTCAGCTGAAACAAGACTCTGGTTACAATAGGTGCAAGTTATTTCAGGGCTACTCTGTGCTCAAGAGGATTTAATAAAGGTCAAAGATGACCTTATGTCCCTTCGCCACGAGGCGCCGCACGTGGACAAACAGCCGGTGGCTCGGAATACTGGCAGTCATGAAGTTGTGATCCAGGTGGCAATAGATGTTCAGTTCTCTAGCTGCAATCTGCAAAGTACAAGAAAAGTCAGCCGACAGGTCAGAAAGTCATTCAGGAGGGTAAGGAGCTTATCTCTATGACAACAGTGATGCACAGCTACAATTAAAAGCTCAGTGTCAAAGGGAAAACATTCCAAGAGAAAGCCTGGAGGGACTGGGCCCCTGTCTTGGCATTGCCACAAGCAGGGGCTTCGCTATCACAGACTTCACCTGTCAGATTTTTAGGGTGCAGTTTGATCTTCACCACTGTGAGGCAAACCACATATACTGTACACACAGGGTCTGAAACACAGCTCAACAGATGGTCAAATAATTTTTGCACTCCTAAAAACACAAAAGGAATGGAGGCATTTAATTTGTGGTTATTAAGATGGGATTAAGCTGGCTAATCAATTAAAATACTGAAAAATCAATATCGAAGAGTTGTAGAAACCAAATACTTAACAAAAAAGAGTAACAACACTTACTGAAATGTGACATTATCATGTGTGATTCGTATTTGACTTTCTGCCTTTTAGTTGTTCACTGACTAGACAATGTGTGTTAAGCAGGAACTGCAGCCAAACACTGACCTGTCTCCCTGGACCACGTATTTCTATTTCTGGACTGTGAGTACACCAGCAAATGAGTAGACAAATTACACAGCCCAAATTTCATGGGGAAAATTAATTCCCAGTAACTAAGCAACATTTCTCACTGGTCTCGAGTGTGGAAATAGTACCAATCAAAGGTTGGCAGCAAAGACTTTGGGACACATCACAAAAAAAATCCCCCAACATTATGAACCATTAATGAACCATCACTTCAAAGTTATGTTTTTATCAAGTCTTTTCCAGTTCCTACAGATCTGGCATGTGTAGTTGCCACATGTGAACACGCATTCTGTATCCAGACTATACTTGCTATGTTCATCTCTTTTTACAGTACTTGTTTCCACTGCCTTCCAAACTGAAATACTCCTGGTAGAGTTTTAAGCCAATTCACTTCTGAGAGTTTTTCAGTTTTAACTCTGACAAGTAATTATTCTGGGAACTCACCTTAAATTCTCAGCATGCAAGACAGCAAGCACTACCATCCAATTACAAAATAATAAAGCCTATTTTGGCAAAAAGTTTAAGCATGTAGAGATTTTTTCACCTTGATCTCAAGTATCAGAAGAATCCACAAAGAAACCTCCCTTCTGGAAGTAGTCATAGACCGAGTAGGACACCAGTACAATGCAACATTCTTCGCATAACCCTGGCAAAAATTACCTCTGCATCTTCTCCAAAGAAGCGGTATTTGTATCCACATTCCACACACAAAACAGCATCTTTATACTGTTTCTTCATTTCTATGAACTGAAGTTCTAATGGAGTGTAAATGCTTTTGGTTCTTTTATTAAGATTTGTATCCAAAGCATTCTGAGTATTTTCATAGGACTTAAGAGATGCAGAAAACTGACTAAGATCACATCGTACCTCCTCCTGTAAATAAAGGATGGAAAAGTACAGTTAGGAATCATCAAACAAATCAATTGCCCCCATATACCTTGGCTTGCATTGACCACAGAGCTAAGGACTCTTCTTGCATTAAATAGCCCAAAGAGCTGCAGCAAAACTATTAAAGTAGGATATACACAACACAGTTTATTTGGAATTAAAAGGAATTAAAAAGTCATGAAAGTCAAAGTTAGTTGACTTGCTGGACAGCAATCCTCAGACACCTCAGGTGAAATCATATGCTTATTGTATCGTAAGTTCTCAAAATACAGATCAAGAGCCATGCAGGCTGCAAAGATTGGGCAGTCCAAACTGGCCAGATATTAAAATAACCACTCCAGTTTACAGTAAGAAACTCCACTGTAGAGAGATTAATGATGTTCCAAAAATCCACAGTAAATCCAGAAATAAAACAATTTGAGTCCCAGTTCACTGTTTCAACCACCAAAACTATATTTATTCTCCAGTCTGCCCTTATTACGTAAGTTCAGCAAACCTTCCAAAATAATTTATACACAAAAAATCTATACTACAGTTTCTAAAATCCTTAACATGTAAGACTTTGAGCAGCTCAGTCTCTCAGCAATTTACCATTCACAATGACATTACGCAGCCTATTCTTGTCAAGCAACTTCAGGTCTACAACTCAGCGTTGTTCTGTGTTGTCAGCAAGGTGATGGGTTCAGTCTTTCATCAGTGCAGTGAACAACACTGATAAGGCATTTTTCACTTACAGTGAAGTTCTTCCTCACTCATATCACAATATCAAGTACCAATAAAATTTGTTCAAAAAAAATACTAACACAACACCCTCCACAGGTTTTTAAAGCCTATGGTCATTCAAAACACAATGCATTAGGTTGTGCTACAAAATTCTGTGTCTGCAAATAAATCCATTAGACTTCCATTTCTAGCAAGCGTCCCATCCAGATGACAAGCAACCAAGTCAACAGACTGTTTCGCAGCCGTGATAACTCAGAAGAAATACACTCTGGGTCATAGGAATGTACAAAGACTGCAGTCAGAGAACAATCAGGGAAAAAGAACACTTTAACTGCAAAATTCCCACAAGTGCACACCGTCCAGCAAGACAGCACAGCCCAGGACAAATAAAGCTGCACCAGAACTTGGATAGCCCCAGGAGCTCAGATGGCTCTACTGCAAAATCCTGAGCCCAAGCGCTCAGCAGTCCTCAACCCAAGGTCTGTGCCAGCCCAGCAGGAAGACCTCATCTCATTTTAGGGGAAATCGTAGCGACAACCACGTAAATAAAGGTCATGAAAGGAAGCAAAAGAAGTAAAAACAGAGAGAGAAGTTGAATCACTGAGATGGTTGTAAGTTAGCAGCTTGAGGGATTTAGAGGAAAATCACTTACATAAACAGGTTAAAACTGCAGGAAAAAATCAAGATACAAACATCTAAAATGAGCTGCTCCAAGAAGGCAGGCCAGCCCTGGAATCAGTTTTCTGTGTTCTCCAAGGGACCACATCTACATAACCTCAATCCCTTATCACAACAGAAATATCTTGCCACAAGCTGTTCACTTCAGCATCTTGAGCTCACACTCACACAAACCAGACACCCCCAGTTTAAGTTCATGAACTTCAGGAAGGGTTAAAATCAACTGTATAACCTTCCATACATCCTCCTTCCCTCAAAGAGTCAAATATAAAACTTCACTAAAGAGCAGTTGCCACAATAAGCCAGGAGATATCTTTTAGGACCTGACACCTACAACAACGAATTAACTAAAGTTAATTAGACCCACAATTAAAGAAGAAGCAAAGTACTGCTACTCTTACAAAGTACTATTACCCCAGTCTTATTGACTTGCATCATACATATAATAATGATAATTTTTCATGCGAGCTACCCATATCTTCTGCAGATGAAAAAGCAGTGGTATCTCTAGTAGTCAGATTTACCAGCCACTGGATTAGGCTACATCTCAGCAATACTTCTAATATTTATGTAAAGAAAGACTGGTAGAAATTTGACAGCCCACATCAAAATTGGTAGAATTGAAAGAAAGATGAGCCAAGTACCAACTGAACATGCGTTATTACGATATTAGAGCTTCACTCAATCACAAGATACACTCCCAGTGTCTCTGCTCTCATTACTGCTGTTTTTCAGTGGTATTACTGAAGTGCTAAAGAGATGCATCCTGTTCACTACAAGAAGAGCTTCAGGAAAGCAATGTCTGTGGGGTCTGTCGGGTTCTGCTGCACTATTTCATGACAGAACACAAAAACACAAAGCTTCTGCCAAAACTTGCTTTTTTAAACCACGACAAGCAATCTACACACCACAGACCACAGCTCTGCATACCTTCTGAGCAACCTTTGGGTCAGTGTCCCAAGATGGAAGAGGGATCTTCAATTCTGAACTTCTCCCAGTAATACTGGGACATTTTTTCAAACTCTCGGACTCTTTCTCCTGAAAACCATCCTGGATTCTGGTACACTGCTGGTCTGAATCACTGCAGAATTCTCTCAGTCTGTCTAGAGTTTGCAAACATATACAGGGCTTTTCATGCTTCTGAGGTTCTTCTTCAGTAAAAATACACAACAAAAACATTAGCAACTTATTTTCTAAAGCAGAATGTCTATTAGAATAACATCAGTAAGCACAAAACAAAATCATTTTGCTCCATCTCTCTCTTCTCTACATTCCTTCTCCTCTCCCATTGCAATATTTCTCCCAGACTGACAGAGTCATGCATGAAACCAGTTTGATTAACTCCCTGGAAAACCAGTATTCCTCACCTGTGTGCTTGGTCATACATGGGAAAAGACACACAACCATTTTCTGGGCTGGTAACTACAAAGCCACTAATTTAGTCAAGAATATTGGAAATCAAGTAGAATTTCTGTCAGTCCAGGTTTTGGCAGTATTGCTACTTGGTGGTGTCTTAGTGGTACTTCAAACCATTGCACCAACAAAACTGAATATAGTTCCCACTTTAAAAAACTTAGGAGGCTAATTCTTTTAAATGAAGTGCAATGAACTTTATATACACTCATTTGTTTTTGTACCAGCATTATTTTATTAAACTCTTGGTTCAAGGCCAGATGGAACTCAGGCATTTTCAAGACAATGGAGTGGCTGTTGTTTCCCAGGTGAGAATTTACTTTGGGGTAGCCTTTGGGTACACCAGTTACAGACCAGGCTCTACAGAGCTCTCAAGTGTCAGTTGTGCTTCAGAACAAGACTGTTAAACCAACATAGGAAGGAAAGTTGCACCATTTCTGCCTGGATACCTGGACTTCACTGACTGAACAACCTGTTAAAGCTGAGTGAGCTGAAGGGAATTTGCAAAGTAATTCTGGAGCAAGGCTCAAATTCCTAGCTCCTGTGCCACAGAAAGGTTCTTGAACAGTTCAGGAGTATGCTCATTATGGCTCTTCAGAGTTGTATCTTACACTCAAGGGACACTTCCCGAAGTACCGAGACACTTTTTTCACTTTTGACAATGACAAACTATTTACTGGCTCTCAATGCTTGGAGGTTCGTTTACAGTCAACTCACTTTTTTCCTGAGTCTTCAATGGGTTACAGATATCTTCTAGAGTGATTTGTTGTGCCCTGGGCTTCTTTTCACAGGGTTCATTGCCTTCAGTTGATGTGCTCCTTTTTGTGCCACATTCAGAAGCCTGAAACGTAAATTACACAAAGAAGTTCAGTTCCTTTTTCTCTTTGCCATCCTCTATGAAAGACAGTAATGCAACCAAGCATTTCACGAAGAGATAATACAAAATTATTGAATAACCCATCCCTGAAGTGTCCAAGGCCAGGTTGGACAGGGCTTGGAGCAACCTGGTCCATTTGGAGGTGTCCCTGCCCATGACGATGTATGGAAGGAGATGAGCTTTAAGGTCGTTTCCAACCAAACCCTTCCATGATTCTATGAAAATAATTTACCATATACAAAATTCCTAACTATTTTACCTATCTACATGTTTTGTTTATAAAACAGTTCTTCTAGCACTCGAGGCTACAAGAGGAAGAGGAACAGTACATCTTGTGATCAGTTGGCTGTTATGCTATAAAAGAAACACCTGCAGCTATTGTGGCTTCAAAAGGCAGCTTAGAGCTACTTCTGTGGCAGAGAACTGAACCAGTATTTAAGAGACTTTCCCACAACACCACAGCCACCATCTGTGCCTGAACCAGAGCTCTTCTGCAAATCCTCACTCCCACAGTCCAGAGCTCTCTCCTTGCCAGACACTGGCTGTTCACCCCCAAGAGGCACCATTCCCCATAGACTGAATCCTAGTGATGATGGGATCACCTCCATCTGCTCCACACCATCCTGCAAGTATCAGTCCAGGCTTAAAAAGGTTTCCCTAAACTACTTGTAAGCACCTGGGTTTGTACAAAATACAGCACTGTCAACCACAGCTCCTTAGATGTCTTTTGACAAGTGCACTTGAACACTATGTAAACCAAAAATTCGTCAATTTATGCTGTTTCATCAGTGATCTATTGCTTAACAGCATGCAAGAAGTTTGACTAAATATAAAGAAGTAACTTAGAGTTCCAACAACATATAAACACTTAACAAATAAGCACACAGCAGATGCTTTCAGCTGCCTGCAGCCACATTTCATATGGTAATCTCAGAGCGTTTAATTGAGGAATTTCAATTTCCTTACAACTAAGCAGGAGCTCCACCCCCACCAACTAAGTTCATAACCTCTATATAACCTATCCATATGTACAGCCCATATAAGTAGCAAAGCTTCTGAATCCACTATTAAATACAACCAAATTAACGCTAATTAGGAAGCTTTCTCTGCATGGGCAGAAAGCTGCAATCACACCTTTAAAAATGCATTTGGACCAAAGGTAACCAAAAAAGTTGCCTTGACACACAGGTGGAAAAAGCAAACGACCATTCTGGGCTAGAAGGGGCTGGAAATTTTAACTACAGGAAGACTGGAAAACATAAACTCAGCATGAAAACCAGTTCCTAAGAGATAGCAGTTTTTAACCAGTGGTGATACAAAGAGGCTGCTGGATCATTGCAAGCTCTTTTGGCCTTGCACCCAACAGCAGACCCACCTGGAGTTGCCTGAGCTCCATCACCTGGGCCGTGAGCTCAGCCTGCTACATGCCAGAGTTATCCACAAAATCTGATTTGTCATCCGGTGTGCAACAAGCCAATAATTACACACCTGAGAGACACTGAATATTTATTTCAGAACTTCACAGGCCATGGGTTTGCAGTGTGTTCCACAAATCCAGCACAACAACTGGACTTTCTGTGCCATCATTTATACACAGAAATCCAGAATTAGTAACTTCCCAAGCACAGCCCCTCTATCAGGATTGATTAGTCATTTCCATATAAGTTACACAACGCCAGCCAACTTCTACATGTGCTCAGGGGAAGAGTCTGCACTTGGGCTGGGTCTTTTTTGGCCTGTAAGTGTGGGTTTTAGTATTATAATGAACACAGTTCAGCCACAGGATACACAGACCCTGAGCATTTTGCCAATTAGCAAGGTGTACATAGGCACACATCAACATCTTTATTTCACCCTGAATGCTTGTTGGTTCCAGGATGTCCTTCCCTAAGGGATGCAGCTGCTGCCTGTCCCACTAACCAGGTCTCTTTCCTTATTGATCAGGAAACAACACAAAGATCAAACATCAAAGAACATCCTAACTTAAGATAATCTCTACATATTCCACATTTTGCAACACCAGGAGGCACTACCTGTGCCAGGGATCCAATATGGGAGCAAAACCCCAGTGACATGGACCAGCACCCTGGCCTTGCCCAGCTCATCAAACCTGTGCTGAGCTCCAGCTCCTGCAAAATGGGACATCCTGGATCACAGAATGGTGGGGGTTGGAAGGGTCCTCTGGAGATCACCCAGCCTAACCCCCTGCTCTGGCAGGGTCTCCTGGAGCAGGTGACACAGGGACATGTCCAAGTGGGTTTGGGATGTCTCCAGACAGGGAGACTCCACACCCTCCCTGGGCAGCTGTTCCGGGCTCTGCCACCTCCATGGAGAGAAGTTCTGCCTCATGTTGAGGGGGAACTTGTTGTGTTTTATTTTATGGCCATTGCTCCTTGTCCTGTCGCTGGGGCACCACTAAACAGAGTCTGGGACATCTTCTGACACCCCTTGGGGATATTGGTGTGGATTGATGGGATCCCTTCTCAGTCTTCTCCTCTCCAGACTAACCAGGCCCAGCTCCTGCAGTCTCTGCTCATCAGGGAGATGTTCCAGACCCCCCATAACCTCTGTGGCCTCTGATGGACCCTCTCCAGCAGCTCCTTGTCTTTCCCTTGTCTGAGGATGCCCTCAGAGTGCTCGGTACCACTGCCCCGTGTCACACAGGTGCTGCAGTCGGTCCCTCGCCTGCGGGAACCCCTGTCCTGCCTGCCCGCCC